AGTATGCGAGCGATCGAGGAGGAGGAGAGCTACCAACGGCAGCTGAGCCAAGAGGAAAGATGCGAGAGGGGAAGAGCGAGAGAGGGAGGGGCTGAGGGAGAGAGAAAGAGGGTAAGACAGTTAAGCCAAAGCTTGGAGGGAGCAAATGAGAAAGTGGCACAACTAAGCCGGAGGGTGGAGGAGCTAGAGGAGGAAAAAAAGATAAGGCAGTTGCGCGAAGATTTGGCCCTCAGTTCGTCAAATAGTGAAGGCGAAGGGGAACCGGAATAGCTAGCCGGGAGGATAGAAGGATAGATAGGCCCATGGACATAGAGATATAGCGGAGGGGCGAGAAGTCCCATATATATATATAGTACATAAATCAATAACCGGTATCCATCTAGTAGTCAGGGAACTGTGTATAACCAAGGCAATATATATTTTTTTTGTATATACATATATTTGTATATTAANCCTATTATCTACTTCTGATATATATATTAGCAGACTTCATCTACGATCATGAGAATTCATACAAGAGAGAAATCGTTTGAATGTGATCTATGAGATCATAGATGAGATCAATTCTTTCCGAAGCATTATCACTTAAACGAACACATGACTCGTAATCATAATGAGAAAGAAAAGCTACCAAAAGAAGTTTATAACAATGCTTTAATTTCACAAGTTTCTAAACACTAAGTTTCCGATGTACATTGAGTACATTGTATCAAAAAACTCGATTTTGATCAGAGTAAAAAAAATTCATGTCAAACGTCAAAGGATTGTCAAAATTCAAAAATGCTCATGTAGTTTTGCTCAGAATCGTGTGTCAATCCTCATTTCATTATCACGGTCATGCTTACACTATAGTAAGACACCTAGATAACTTTGATCACTATAACGTTACCATTGATTGTACAGCATGGGTGAGATAGTAGATAAGATATGTTTAATGGACAACTCGGTTAGTTTCAAGCAAATTAAATTAATTTATTCATCAAGTAATTGTTTTAGCTGTGTGATATTAGGGGGTAGACAGCGTTCAGGATTGTACGGCTATACTGTGTGATTTTATGCCCCGTTTTGTATTACAAAGCACAAGATGTAAGCACCTAATTACCTCTGCATATATCAAGGTACAAATCAATGGTGCATATGTCACAACCATATAAAAATTAAATCTTTATAGGACATGAGCACATGGGTAAGTCAGACGTCCCAAGTGTCCCGGTTTCACCGGGATCGTCCCGGTGAGACATATGCTGGTCCCGGTGTCCCGTTAAGAGTCCAGAAAGTCCCGGTCTTAACAGTTTTCAGCCATATTTTAAAATTTACATCAGTAAATTACTAAATTTGCCGTGGTTGTTGATGTACTTTGATTCCAGCGAACAATATAAAAGGCCACAAATGTCAAACACTTGTTTTTTTTGCATTTTCATTTTGAATTTGTATTTTATTTTACATGTATACTTTATAAAAAATGGTGGTGCGCCGCGACAAACACATGTCGCAGCCCGCCACAACTTTTTTCCTGTTTTTGCGCACCGCGAAAAAACGGCGATGAACCATTATCACAAGTGATCCCTTTCTTGGATTTTCCCAACTTGGGACCTCTGGCAGTGGACGCGAGACACGAGGACATAGAA